CCCCGGAAGGGTCCCCACGTGAAGAGGGCGCTGAGGTCGTGGGAAAGCGCGCAAGTGACCCGTTTTAAGGCCGCAGCGTCCCGGGGCAAAGCGGAGAGGCACCGCCCGGCGTGGGGAGGGGGGGGCCGAGAACCGCTTCGCTGTCCTGGGACGTCCCCCAGCCCCGCCCTCACCCCGTCCTGCCCTCGGGACGAGCGCCGCAACTCGTATCCACCGCAATCAGGGCGCAGCGGTGGGCAGCGCAACGAGCCACAGTTAACTTCGACCGCTGGATTCACCGTTGTGGCTGCTGCCCTTCCCCTCCGGGTCTTTTTAAACTTTCCCGGGCTATCCAGATGCCCCCCCCGCCCCCGTGAACCCCTGCCCTCTCTCACCCCGCCTCTCCCCTGAACCCCAGACTGAGCGAACCCGGAGATCCGAGTCCGGTTAGGCCAGGGTGGGGTGCGCGTTGCGCGCAGCCTCGCGGAGGCGCCTCCACCTTTCCTTCGGACTTAAACGGCGCCGCCGCGCCTGCATATTCTGGCTATCCACAACCCCCCCCCGCCCCCAGACATTTCCCAGCCCAGAGGGGCGAGCGACCCAAACCCCAAAGTACTAGGATCCCGAAGGCCGGCCAGCTTGGGCGGCAGGCATTGCGCGTCTGGATCGCCCTGCGCCACGACGCCGCTCGGCTTTTTCTGCCTCTGCGCCAAACCGAGCCGGGTCGCGCCCTTCAATGCAGCAGCCTGGTCGTCACACACACACACACACCCCGAGGAAACCGGCGCTGCTTTTGGCGGGCGATCCACAGGCCCTCCCTTCCCGAGGCCACTTGCACCCCAGCTCCCCCCTCCCCCGGCCTTAGGTGGGGGGAGGGGAGGCCGCGCACGCTTGGACCCTTTGGATGGAGCCCAGCGCCCCCTCGGACCGGGCTCGCCCCCCACCTTAAGCAGAGCCCCGGGCCAGACGCGCACCGCCCCGTGGTTGAGCAAGTGGCGCACGGCCAGCTCCGGACGGTGCTCCAACCGGTAGGCCGCCACCTGCAGGGCGTTGTGCAGCGCCGTGTTGCCGCTGTAACTCATGATGTTGACGTGGGCGCCGCGGGCCAGGAGTAGCGACACCACGCGGGCGTTGGCGTTCTTGGAGGCCCAGTGCAGCGGGCGCTGCCGGTCGCGGTCGGCGGCGTTCACCCGGGCCCCGGCCTCCACCAGCTGCCGGCACACGTCGAAGTGAGCCTCCGCATCCCGGGCGGAGTGCGCCAAGCTGCAGGCGGCGATCAGCGGGGTCTCCCCCTCGGCGTTGGGGGCCTCCAGGTCGGCCCCGTGCTGCAGGAGGAGGCCCACCTGCTCCGCCAGGCCCAGCCGGGCCGCCACGTGCAGCGGGGTGTCCCCTGCCTCCTCCGAGGCGCCGTTCACCGGAGCCCCGTGGCTCAGCAGGAGGCGGGCGCACCTGGGAACGGAGAGGAAAGGGGGGCTGAGGCCGATGGGTCTGTCTGGCGCACCCCTTTCCTGCTCTGGGGGGCCCGCCTTCCTTTCTCGCCAGCCCCCTCCCCTCAAATAAAGGCTCGGGACGCGGAGTCTCCTCGGAGCCGATCGCGAGGCAGGATTGGGGACCCCTGAAAGCGCCCCGAGCCTCCGGCGCCTCTCCTCCTGCCCGGGACCGGCTGTAAGACGAGGCTTCCCCTGGAGAGAGGGGGGGGCGCTCTTCCAAAGGGGGCAGACGACACCACCCCCTCCCATTTTTCCCCCCCCCACAACCTCCTAGTCCTAGACGGCCTTCCTCCCCCCACCCCCCACTGAACTGAAAAGGCGCCCCGTGCGCCCATTGGCCGGTTGCCAACGGCCTTTCCTGCAGCGGCCCCACCTCGTGTTTCCCCCCTCCCCCATCCGCGCGACCAAACTCTCCTTTTCCCATGAAACCAAGTCCGAGCTGGAATCGCGCCCTTCAGCGATTCTTGGGCTACAACACGCTCAACCACCGCCCGCCTTTCCCTTTAGATGGGGTGGCGGGGGGGGGGGCGGTTGTTCCTATCCTGGGGAAAGGAAAACCGGAGGAGTCCCACCTGGAAGGGGTCAGGGCGGGCTAGGCTCCGGGCTGAGCGGGTGGAGGAGACGCCCCAGACGGGGACAGAACTGCTGGTCCCTTCGCAGTTGGCCGCCCTTGCGCTTGGAAGAAGCCCGGTTCCAAAGTGCGCCGCGGGATTGGGCGGGATCCAGTGGATCGGCCTCGGGCTTCCGCGGCCTCCCGCCTGCCCCGTTATTGGGGGGGGGTCTCCTCCCCCCCGTCTCCGTTTCCTGGCTCTTGGGAGTCAACCAGCCCAAGGGTGGGGGGAACACCCAAAACTTCTCCGGAACCCCAAAGCTTCTCCGGAGCCCGCGCCCTCGGGGCCGTCCCTCCGAGGCGGAGCTACTCACTCGCTCGAGCCGGCGCTCCGGCAGAGGTGGAGGGGCTGACAGCCGCCCTCCGAGACGGCGGCGGGGTCGGCGCCGAAGGAGAGCAGCAGGCGGACGCAGTCGGCGGTGGCGGCCGCGCAAGCCGCGTGCAGGGCCGTCTGCCCGCCGGGCGCCAGGTCCACCTCGGCCCCGCGCAGCAGCAGGTGGCGCAAGCAGTCCAGGTAGCCGCGGCTGGCCGTGATGTGGAGCGGCGTGGTCAGCTCCTGCTCGTAGGTCAGCGACCACAGCCCTGCGGGGGGGAGAGAACGGCCGGGGGGGATCAGCTGCCCGAGGGGGGTCGAGCCGGGGGGGGGTCGAGCCGGGGGTCCCCCTTCCCCTGCCCACGCAGAGGGAGAAGCGCCTTGGAGAGGGGGGCCGCCGCCTCCACGGCCCCTCTCTTGATCCGCCAAGCCGGGGGTCCCCAACCTCCCCTCCCCCCGGGGCCGCGGCCCACTACAGCCCCCTTCTCCCCTCCCAACGGTCCGCAGAAGCCGGACAGGTTGGGGACCGCTGCGCTCGGCTGCCCGCGCTCCGCGCGCCTTGGAGAGGCGTCTGCACGGCCTCTCTCTTGATCCGCCAAGCCGGGGGTCCCCAACCTCCCCTCCCCCGGGGCCGCGGCCCACTACAGCCCCCTTCTCCCCCTCCCAACGGTCCGCAGAAGCCGGACAGGTTGGGGACCGCTGCGCTCGGCTGCCCGCGCTCCGCGCGCCTTGGAGAGGCGTCTGCACGGCCTCTCTCTTGATCCGCCAAGCCGGGGATCCCCAACCTCACCGCCCCCGGGGCCGCGGCCCACTACAGCCCCCTTCTCCCCCTCCCAACGGTCCGCAGAAGCCGGACAGGTTGGGGACCGCTGCGCTCGGCTGCCCGCGCTCCGCGCTCTCTCTTCCCCCTCCGGGCGCACTCAGCTGGCGGCTGCTGGAGCGGTACTGGCGCCACTCGTCCGAGTCGCTGGTGTCGAAGACGGCGTTGGCCCCCAGGCCGCTCCCGGGGTCGCTCAGGCAGCCGAGGAGGGCGCAGCCGTCGCCCGACAGCAGCGCTTGCCAAAAGGCCTGGGCCGCTCCCCGCGCTCGGCGCGCCGGGATGGGCTCCATGGCCGGAGGGCGGAGGGTGATTGTGTGTGTGTGTGTGTGTGCTGTGTGTGTGTGTGTGTGTGCTGTGTGTGTGTGTGTGTCCGGCCACAGCCTCCCCCACCCACCCCCTGGACCCGTGCCCGGCCGGCCAGAGGCCTTAAGGCTGGCGCGTTCGGGGCTGCCCTGTTTTTGCTTGGTTCAACCGAAGAGAGGCCGGGGCTGATGGGCCCTGGCGTCGTGAGTGCGTGTCCCCCACAGAAGGGCTCTTTGGAGAAGCCCAGAACCTCACCGGTGGGTCACCTACTGTACGTACAGTTGCGGACCTGCGCCTTTTTCGCCGAGCCCTGAAGGCCCATCTATTCCGTGTGGCCGGCCTGGCGTCGTTTGATTATGTTTTAGTGGGGGTTTTGCATGGGGTATTTTTAGAGCAGGCCTGTTATTTAATTTGATTTTAGAATAGAAATTTGTGTATATTTATCGTGGTTTTTATTATCGCCTGTTCACCGCCCTGAGTCCCGTAAGGGAGATAGGGCGGTATATAAATTCAATAAATAATAATAATAATAATAATAATAATAATAATAATAATAATAATAATAATAATAATAATAATAATAAGTGCCTGCTTGCTGGCCTGTATGGAGGGGGGGTCTTCAGGGGCTAAAGCTCTGGAGGGCTCGAATTCCGAGGGACTCAGGAGCCGAGGAAATGGGCAAGGGGGAGGGGTCTTCACGAGGAGGTTTTGGAGCCTGCAGAACTTTGGAGTAGAGTAGAGTAGAGTAGAGTAGAATAGAATAGAATAGAATAGAATAGAAAATATGGAATGGAATAAAATGGAATGGAATAGAATAGAATAGAAAAAATGGAATGGAATGGAACAGAACGGAACAGAACAGAACAGAATAGAAAATATGGAATGGAATAGAATAGAATGGAATAGAATAGAATAGAAAAAATGGAATGGAATGGAACGGAACAGAACATAAAATATGGAATAGAATAGAATAGAAAAAATGGAATGGAATGGAACAGAACAGAACAGAATAGAAAATATGGAATGGAATAGAATGGAATGGACTAGAATAGAATAGAAAAAATGGAATGGAATGGAACAGAACAGAAAATATGGAATGGAATAAAATGGAATGGAATAGAATACAATAGAAAAATGGAATGGAACGGAACAGAACAGAACAGAAAATATGGAATGGAATGGAATAAAATAGAAAAAATGGAATGGAATGGAACGGAACAGAACAGAAAATATGGAATGGAATAGAATGGAATAGAAAAAATGGAATGGAATGGAACAGAACAGAACAGAATAGAAAATATGGAATGGAATAGAATAGAATGGACTAGAATAGAATAGAAAAAATGGAACGGAACAGAACAAAAAATGGAATGGAATAGAATAGAAAAAATGGAACGGAACGGAACAGAATAGAAAATATGGAATGGAATAGAATGGAATGGAATAGAATAGAATAGAAAAAATGGAATGGAATGGAATAGAACAGAACAGAACAGAATAGAATAGAAAAAATGGAATGGAACGGAACAGAACGGAACAGAAAATATGGAATGGAATGGAATAGAATAGAATAGAAAAAATGGAATGGAACAGAAAAGAACAGAATGGAAAATATGGAATGGAATAGAATGGAATGGAATGGAATAAGAATTAAGGGAACAGAACAGAACAGAATAGAAGCTGGAAGGGACCTTGGAGGTCTTCTAGTCCAGCCCCCTGCTCAAGCAGGAGAACCTACACCAACTCAGACAGGTGACTGTCCAATCTCTTCTTCCTATGAGACATTTCCTCCAAGGAGCCATTCTGGTTCTCTTTCCACAGGACTCGGCTTCCTTTTGTCCGAAATGGTATGTAGGGTTTTCTGCCTGAGTGAGGGGGTTGGACTAGATGACCTCCAAGGTCCCTTCCAACTTTATTATTATTATTATTATTATTATTATTATTATTATTATTATTATTATTATTATTATTATTACTACTACTACTACTACTACTATTACTATTACTATTATTACTATTTATTATTACTATTTATTATTACTACTACTATTATTGCTATTATTACTATTACTATTTATTATTACTATTTATTACTATTTATTATTATTATTATTATTATTACTACTACTATTATTATTATTATTACAATTATTACTATTATTACTATTTATTTTTATTTTTATTGTTATTGTTATTGTTATTGTTATTGTTAACCCAGAGGGATAACCATGGGGTGAGGAGTGTGGACAGTGTATAACCTTAGCAAGAGAGGATAGAGTGAGGGGTGGGAGACCCCCACTCCTCATTGGAAAGGGGGGCAAAAATTGCAGGAACCCAGATTCTGGGGGGAACGTTAGCCGAATCCCCTCGGAGTAGAAGCAGCTCTACAGAGGAGGGGTCCCCACGCTCGGCCACTTCGTGGACTTCAGCTGTGGGGGGCTGAGGTGGACAGGAGCAGGTCCCCCTCCCACCGGACACCCCCCCTCTCCCCTTCCTGGAAGCAGCCAGTGGGACGACCTCTCGTCTCCCGTCGGGCCTAGGACAATCCACCGCGGCCCAAGCCCATCGGCGGCGGGACAAAAGCCTTGCGCGCTCACAGCGCGGAAACGGGGGGAACGGAACCTATGAAAGGAATGAAGGGTGGGCGGCCGACATTAAAGTCATTTTTGTTTAATCGGTTTTAAATAATTAAATGGAACCGTGGAATGGCCGGCTCTCCCTTCCTGCTTAGGCCAGGCCCTTCTCGGTCACCTAGTGGGCGGATCACGGCTACCTGGACCCAGGGCACCTGTTGGCGCACTTCCTGGGGGCGGGGGGGCAAGGAGCCTTAACCGGTGGTTAAGCCTGAGCATCCAGTTTGCCACCGGTGAGGGTCCGGTGGCATCGACCGTGCTGGGGAGACCCCTTGACCTCCCCTCCGGCCCTTACCCCATTTCTGGCTGGTCCAGCGCAGGTCCTGGCTCTTGGCCAGGATGACCAGGTCCACCGCGGAGCGGCCGGAGAAATGGCGCTGCACCTCGGCCAGGTCCCCCGTGTAGAGGGCGTTCTGCAGCACGGGGTCCCGGCACTCCAGGGGATCCTCCCGGGCCCTCCTGCTCGGCAGGGCCCGGGCCATCCCGAGCCGGGCCTCGACTCCTCCTGGGGATTCCTGGAAGGGATTCCTGGAGGAGGAGTCGTGGGACACGGCCCTCCTGGAGGAACACGACGACGACCCCCAAGTGAAGCTTCTCCTCGCACCCGAGACGGCCGCTATAAATAGCTCCTCTTGGCCACCGCCGTGCAGTCATCTGCCGGCTGGTCACCGCTTCCCAAAATATATCCCGGTTTTTGTGTGTGTGTGCCAAGGCAGCATGGGTTCCGTGCCAGGCCTTGCCGTCCGAGCCCCGGGGAACTCGAGTGACAAGCTGAGAGCTTGGGAATCTCCCCAGCGCTTCCGGGCATGGGCAGAGGGCCTTCCCATCAGCCCTGAAAAGAAAACACCTGTAACGGTCGGTTATCGGCCCCTGGGAAGATTCTAACTCGGATCCCGAAGGGGTTTGTAAGGGCTTGGAAAGCGGAAGCCTGCCGGGGTGTCGTTGCACTGAACAATTAACCAGCGGAACTACCTGCCTCCAGAAGCGGTGGGGGCTCCAAGACTGGGAGTTTTTAAGGAGAGACTGGACAGCCAGTTGTCCGGAATGGAATAGGATTTCCTGCCTGAGCAGGGGGTTGGACTAGATGACCTCCAAGGTCCCTTCCAAGTTGTTGTTATTATTATTATTATTATTATTATTATTGTTGTTGTTGTTGTTGTTGTTGTTGTTGTTGTTGTTGTTGTTATTATTATTGGACAGCCATTTGTCCGGAATGGAATAGGGTTTCCTGCCTGAGCAGGGGGTTGGACTAGATGACCTCCAAGGTCCCTTCCAACTTTATTATTATTATTAAGTATTATTATTATATTATTATTGGACAGCCATTTGTCCAGAATGGAATAGGGTTTCCTGCCTTAGCAGAGGGTTGGACTAGATGACCTCCAAGGTCCCTTCCAACTTTATTATTATTATTTATTTATTATTATTATTATTATAATATTATTATTGGACAGCCATTTGTCCGGAATGGAATAGGCTTTCCTGCCTGAGCAAGGGGGTTGGACTAGATGACCTCCAAGGTCCCTTCCAACTTTATTATTATTATTATTACTATTATTATTATTATTGGACAGCCATTTGTCCAGAATGGAATAGGGTTTCCTGCCTGAGCAGGGGGTTGGACTAGATGACCTGCAAGGTCCCTTCCAACTTTATTATTATTATTATTATTATTATTATTATTATTGTTATTGTTATTGTTGTTATTATTTGGAAGGTCCAATAGCAATAGCAACAATACTTTTATACCGCTTTATAGTGCCTTCTTTGAGCGGTTTCCAATGTCAGCCCGTTTTCCCCCAGCCATCCGAGTCCTCATTTTACCAACCTCGGAAGGACGGGAGGCTGAGTCAACTTTGAGCCGGTCAGGATCGAACTCCCGGACGTAGGCAGGGTCAGACTGCAAGGCTGCACGCACTCTAACCACTGGGCCACCAGGCCTCCTGCTGCTTGGCGCGTCCACTGCTCAACTACAAGGAGCTCAGCTAGAGCATCAAGGACACATTTTCCTAGAACTTTCCCACTGGATATTTTGCTCAAGCAACTTCCTTATTTATTTATTTATTTATTATTTATTATTCAAATTTATACCCCGCCCTTCTCCTAGCCGACTCAGGGCGGCTTACAGCCAGTTTAAAACAGAATAACTAATACAATAATACTAAATTTAAAAAGTAGTTAAAATGAAATATTTAATTGTTGGCCTTTTCTTTTTTTAAAATTATTTTAAAACCAAATTAAAATACCCCTTAGGCCAGTCCTGCTAGCCTAAATAGCCATGTCTTGAGGGCGCGGCGGAAGGAGGGGAGATCCGGAATCACCCGGATCTCTGGGGGTAGTTCGTTCCATAGGGTGGGGGCTCCAACCGAGAAGGCCCTTCCCCTGGGGGTCGCCAGCCGGCACTGTCTGGCTGACGGCACCCTGAGGAGACCCTCTCTGTGGGAGCGTATCGGCCGATGAAAGGTAATCTGTGGCAGAAGGCGGTCTCGGAGATAACCAGGTCCGATGCCATGGCGCGCTTTAAAGATGATAATCAACACCTTGAAGCGCACCCGGAAAGCCACCGGCAGCCAGTGCAGCTCACACAGCAGCGGCGTTACATGGGAGCGACGAGTCACTCCCATCACCGCCTGCGCGGCTGCATTCTGGACTAACTGGAGCCTCCGAGTGCTCCTCAAGGGGAGCCCCATGTAGAGAGCATTGCAGTAGTCCAGGCGGGAGGTGACAAGAGCGTGGGTAACTGTGCGCAAGGCGTCCCGGTCCAGAAAAGGCCGCAACTGGTGAACCAGGCGTACCCGATAAAACGCCCCCCTGGCCACAGCCGTCAACTGATCTTCTAGTGTCAGCCGTGGATCCAGGAGGACACCCAGATTGCGTACCCTCTCTGAGGGAGCCAAAGTTTTGCCCCCTATAGTCAGCGACGGAGTCAGCTGACTATGCCTGGGAGCCGGCAACCACAGCCACTCAGTCTTGGAAGGGTTGAGCCTGAGTCTGTTTCTCCCCATCCAGACCCGTACAGCCTCCAGGCACCGGGCCATCACGTCAAGGGCATCATTGGGGTGGCCTGGGGTGGAAATGTACAGCTGAGTATCATCAGCGTACTGATGGAAATCCACCCCAAAGCCACGGATGATCTCACCCAGCGGCTTCACATAAATATTGAACA